TGCTTCTTTCTAGCTCTAATGCGGAAAAATATTGTCCCTAACTGATATAAAAAAATTTTTTAATTAAACACATCACAGCACTTGCTTGCCTCCGGCTCACCTCGTATACCTCTCTATTCATCAAAAAAGCATTGCACACCGATTAATAAATGTACTATCAATGTGATTTGACAGTAAAGTATATAGAATAACAAGAAAACTTAAAGTTTATATTGTATCATTGAAATAGAGGAAAAATTTGATCTAAATCTTGTAGTACTTTAATATTATGCTGAAAAAATATATATTCTGACATAAATTTTATTTGAATGAGGAAATAAAAACCTGATAAATTAAATATATTCATAATTTAGAACCAAAGTACATTTTATATGATAGAAACTTTACATATATATTCAGGAAATTAAGTAGAATATTTCACTGAATAAATAAAATATAACAAAGTATAATTGTTATGTATCTAACAAAAGGGAAGGCAGAGAAATAAGCAGGAGCAATAATTAAGAATGGATGTACATTAATAACCGAGATTTATTGAGATACTGATGCAATGAATGTCAAGCGTGTTACAAGCATGGTAGCCATTTTTTTAGTCCGTCTGCGGCTCGCTCTGCAGCCGCTCGCTCGACTTACATACACACATATCTTGAGGCACACACATACGCGCAGACCGTTTTACCCTAGCGCCCGAGTACACTTACGCTATTGCCACAGCTGGCTTGCCGGAGAGATAAATTGTTGATTTCTTCAGTATCGACTTTGCATATGTCCATTAATTCCTGTCCATAGTAATCGTCGTCCTCGCTTTCATGGTCGCACACTTGATGTACTTGGTTGTCTGTGTAGTCGGATTTGGATCTGCATACCCTAGCAACATGTCCAGGTTTGTTGCAAGAAAGGCAAACTGTGGAAACCGGTAATCGGCAGGCATTTGCTTTGTGGTTAGGATTGCCGCATGTGTAGCAGTAAGGTTTCGTAAAATCCACCGGTGGTATTTTTCTTTTAGAATTAAAATTGTTTTTCTTCTTATGTACATCCGTCCTTTTCTTCTGAGCATGTAGATAATTTATGGCGGGTGGATCTTTACGAAAGCATGACGTCTCGCGTTCGCAAGTTTCCATCGTGAGTGCCGTAGTGACTGCTGTTTCAAAGGTTAAATCTTTAGTTTCGATCAACCTGCTTTGAATACGAGGAGTGGCTAAACCGTAGACGAATTGATTCCGAAGAGCTTTAGACGTGTGGCTGCCAAAACCGCAATTTGCACTCATTTTTGTGAGAGCCGTTGCAAATTCTTGAATGCTCTCCCCTGGTTGCTGTTTGCGTGAGTTGAATTTGAAATTTTCGGCTATTTCAAGTACCGGCGGAGCAAACAATTCTTTTAATTTAGCCACTAAAGTCTCGTACGACTTTGAATCAACTTGATCATCACCGAATGTGTCACATAAGGCATCATATGCGGCATCTCCAACATAATGGAGCAGAAACGTTGCCTTATCGGCAGTACTAACCTTCATGATTTTAATGGCACCTTCAAATTTCTTTTGCCAACGTACCCATTGCATTTCTCCTGGAATGAATGGATTGATGTTTACGGCACTGGGACTAGGTGCAGCAGGTGCAGCAGTAGTAGTAGTATCATTATTATCAGGCATCTCTGATTTAATTGTAGAAAAACTTGCAATTCTAGATTTTGCAATTCTAGAGGAAGTGTTTTGAATTTGTCAGTATTGTTGACGCACACGCGCACATTCACTAGTAGGCACTAAAATGTATGAACACAGTTTTATATGTAATTTGTGATTTGTATGTATGTGACGCGCAATTGTAGAATGTATGTATGTATGTAACGCACGATTTTCTAACCTCAAAAGAAAATACGTGTTATGCACTGAGACAGTAGAAGCAGAATGTATGTAAGTATTGTAACACACGCGAACACTCGTAATAAAACACTTGAAGTAATGCAGTTAAGTTATTATACCCCGTAGTATGCACCACGTGTATTGCGAAAGGCAAAAATTTCACTATCACTTTCGATACAAAAATATAGTAGAAAATAATATCCTCGTCGCCAATTTGTTATGTATCTAACAAAAGGGAAGGCAGAGAAATAAGCAGGAGCAATAATTAAGAATGGATGTACATTAATAACCGAGATTTATTGAGATACTGATGCAATGAATGTCAAACGTGTTACAAGCATGGTAGCCATTTTTTTAGTCCGTCTGCGGCTCGCTCTGCAGCCGCTCGCTCGACTTACACACACACATATCTTGAGGCACACACATACGCGCAGACCGTTTTACCCTAGCGCCCAAGTACACTTACGCTATTGCCACAGCTGGCTTGCTTACGCTCTATACTACATATATATCTTAATATGTATATATATATAACAATAATAAATTATATCAAAAATTGAAAATAATTTAATTTCGTAATTTGAATTTCATTCACGAAAGTTCCGTTGAAATAAGCTATTAATCACCTTTTGAATAAATTAGTGCACTTCTATTTATTCAAATACTTGTATCAGTGTTTATATAAAAATTCGAAAATTAACTCCAAAAAGGAAAAAAAAACACATATGTTTTAAATAGTAACGAATAGAAAAAAATTATCAAATATACCTCAGAAGTGATAATAATCAATTGTTTAATACATAATTATCCAAGCGAAATTCAAACTAGATACATATAGTACCTAACAAATTATTAGATCATTGTCCAAACGAAAGAAATTTGCTAGTATTTTTCTTTTTGCGATTTTAATTGATTAATGACATAATTTAAATATATTGACAACATTTTTACAATTTCAAAATACTGATTCTGTCGATCGATTCTACGGGAAAAAGAAGTCAAAAAGCTCTGTATCATTTTTTGGCCATACTTGACTAACTTAGTTTATTATCGTTCTATATAATAACATTATGAGGAAATAATCCTCCCCATTCTATTCAAAACTAATACAATGCTAAACATTTGATTTTAGACTTTAGAAATATAAATAAGTTATTTAAATAAATTACTTTTGTAATAATTATATAAGAGTATATTTCCTCAAAATGTCATTATCTATAACGATAATAGACTAACTAGAAAGCATGCCCAATCCTCTGCTTCCGATTTCGCTGTAATTTGGCTATGTTATAACTTATTGAAAAATAAATAATACGTTTTTTTCATCGGTGGAAAAATCTTTCTAAACTGTGAAAGCTACTCTCGAAAATCACCTATCAGAACAGTTTTCTATCAATATTTTTGGTTTCAAATAATATTTTTTAATGAAACAAAAAGAAAAACATTTGCTTAGGTAAAGCAACTCACTTCCATTTTATTTAATTGTAAAATATTAATTGAAATTAAAAATACTGACAGAAAACTGCTCCGAGGGGTGATTTTCGAGGATGGCTTTCACCTCTTAAAAATATATTTTCATCAATAAAAAAAACACGTATCTTTTATTTTTTAATAAGCTATAACATATCCACATTGCAGCAAAATCGGGAGCGAAGGGTTGACAACGTTCCCTTATAAGTAAATAGTGTGACGGGCCCCTGGCTAGGATAGCCGGCCCTGTCTGGCTCGCTCTCTCTCTCTCTCTCTCTCTCTCTCTCGCAGCCTCGCTCCTTCGCTGTTGCCCTGGCGAGCGTTTGAAACTACAAACCGATACCGATGCTCGCATCGCTTTATTTCAGGACCAATACCTGAGTCGGGCATCGTCATTTGGAGCCAATTGGGAACGAGAGCGGTTGCGGTAAGAAGAAGAGAAAGAGAATGACGCGTCGCGAGTAGAGAGTAAGCGAGCGCGAGTGACCTGCGGCGATCCGCCCGCGAGAGCGAAGCCGCCGGCGTCGCTCGAGCCGATGCGCGAACGATTAGAGGGGAGAGTTCGAGCCGAGATTCTGAGTTCGACGGATCGTTTGACGGCCGAGCGTGCGCACGCGAGAGAGACGCCAAGCAGTTAGAAGCACAGGGAGAGGATTTCCAACGACGATAGTATCGAGGAATCCACATCCGAGCCTGCCACGAGCCTGCCTGCAGACCAGCAGCATTTCCTGCCTGCCAGCAATTACCAGCGACGGTTTCTGCAGCGGCATCAGCGGCGATTCCTGCCAGCAGCCCTCACTAGGTCAGGTCGTCTCTCACTCTCCCTATCTCTTTCTCTCTACATCCGCGAATGCGAGACGCGTCGGCGAAGTAATCGCGATCTTCCGCGATCACGGCGAATTCCGTAATTGTAACAAGTCCCTCTTTTGTATTCTCTCAAAATAATTGTAACGTGCCCCAGTGCGATTGTTCGCACGAGCGCAGGCACGCGGCGTTAAGGACGACGTGTGAATTCGCGTCGTCGCTCTTTATTGTTAAAAGTCGAGAATCAATATTGTTAACGGTTATCGCGAGCGATTATGGTGTGCGCCTTACATTCCTTTCCTTTTAAGCGGAAGCCCAAAACGCTAATTTAATGACGAGGCCCATCGTCATCGTTCAGAGGAGCGAAAGAGCATCCCTTACCTTCCCCTTTAAAAATAATTTGTTATACGACGCTTGGGCACGGGCCTTTGCATTGCTCGTGGGAATTACCATTCCCCATAACGCGTTAGATAGATTTTTAATCTCCAGTGTCACAATAGTGGAAAAATATAAATAATTCATAGTTGCCTCATAGTAAATAGCAAACTAACAAGATAAATAAAAAAAATTACTTTATTACAGGAAAGAAAAATATAACTATTCAAAAAACTCACTTTCTACAGAAAATCGAAAATTGGACTTATCATTTATTTAAGCGTTAGTTTTTTATTATTACATGTTTTTGTTATTTTTGTTCTATTGTTTATTTATATTTATATCTTTTATGTTAGTTCTTTTGTCTTTTTTATTCGTATATATATTTTCAAGGGAGTTTCTTCCGCTTAATAACAAAAAAAATTTGGTTTATAAAAAATTGTATCATTTTGTTAACTTGATAATATGGAAATTCAGTTTAATACTGACCATATGGGGCATTCGTTGTTGTATTAATTGCAAATCTTCGTAACTATACACATGTGGCTGCTGAAAAGTTGCATAAGGTACACTCTGTCCCATTATATATTGATGACTTAATATAGGAGCTAGACTGCCACTCGCTGCTGATCCAGATATACTGCTCGAACTGCTATTACTACTTGGAGTCAGGCCACCCACACTGCATTTTGGTATAACTAAAAATAGCAAACACATACTATTCTAGATATCTATTTAAGAGATAAATATAAGAATAAAGATATAAGTATAAGATACATTTATGTAAATAATTAAGGAAATATATTCAACTTTGAAAAGATAAAGTATTTATATTTATTGTTTTAAAATGCATCACATAGTTATTGTTATTATGTAGTACGTTACCTAGTTATTGTCTATTGCTCGGTGAGGAACCTGGTATCAAATAATAGAGTATTATAAAGAGTACAGTACCTAAAGTATATCATAGCTGAGATTTTTATGACCCTAATCGTATTAAAGTATCTCTTTTACATACTTTTTCAAACGGCCCAAAATAAGGCACAACGCTTGTATATGTATTCAGTTAAATTAATGCTCGCACACATCTACATATAGATAGACGGATGTACAAATGAAGGACTTGAGAAAAGTGCTGACCATGTCGGTTAATTCATCCATGATTCCTATTTTGGTGGAAGTTCAAATGTTAATTTCATTTCTGGCTTCTCGGATTTAAGAAAGTTAATTGCACAGTAATAACGTTGTAATGGTGAAATACTTCAATACGCTAATAAATAAAGCTACGGCTATTAGCAATACCATTAAGATACGTAAAAATACAAAGTAATAAAAATATTATATTCTAAGCTAGAGAAGACACCGGAAGATGAAGTATCGTAGAGAAGTCGGTCGTTTCAAGCTCTCTCACAAAAAATAACTACCTGTGTAAGTTGTTACTCTTCGCAGTCTCAGAGTGGAATAAATCACAAGTACACCTGTACCTGCAAACCTATACTATCTCTTGCGGATAGCGACAAATATACATAGTTGCACGCCAAATCCACAGTTTTTGAGTATGTATGTATGTATTTATTAATTTCAGCTTACATAGCCCAGAAATAGACTTGGTTAAATTATACATTTTTCTTATTCCTATAAATATTTATATAAATAATTAAATATTTTATCGCTACATTTCACATTTATAAATTTATTTTATTACATTTTTCGATAATTTTTGCTTAATACTAGTACACAAAATTTCATTAGCTATTGTAATCTGTCTATTAAATATTTTATATCATCTCTTATGTTTTATCTTTTATGATACATATTTTTACCTATTTTTACATATTTTTACATATTATTACACATTACTACATATTTCTACATATTTCTTCATATTTCACATATATTTCCCATATATTACATAGATATTTATACATTTTTAAATATTTTACATGCCATTTCTACATATTTTGCCTCTGGTGCTAAGAGGCATTATATTATCCTAACATTTGTGTGATTTTTTATTCGTTTTCTAAATTTATACCTCGTTTATACCTGCATTCTTTTTCCAACTTTCTAATCCATTTTACTACCACATCGCTATTTTTTCCTTCCCAGATTTTTTCTATATCTTTAAATTCAATTTTTCGTGTACCCATTTCCCAATTTTTCGTTACCTCGCAATTTTCAATTAGGTGTTTTAATGTGCTTTTTTCTTTTCCACACAGGTCACATATTTTTTTCTCTTCGGTCTCCCAGTACTTATTTGCATTTTCTAAATTTCCACATCTCAGTTTGCAATGTCTTTGTAGTTTCTGTATCCCTTAGTCAAGTATTCTGGTTTACCACTAATCATTATCTCTTTATACCTTACATTATATCTCGACCTATATATTTTATTAGTTATGAATTGCCCTTGTATATTTATCTCTCTCTTTAGAATCTCTTCGTGTACTTCTTCTTGACTTGTCATGCTTTCTATTGCTATTGTACTTAATCCTATGCTATTTAAATAATTTTCTTTTTCTTTCATATATTCGTCTTCTAGTCCGCTTTCTCTTTTTTCTTTCCAGCACATTTTTATTAGTCTATTTTCCTCTTCTTCTCTTATTCTTGTTTCGAATTTCAGTGCCCTAATGGCAAACCTTCCCTTCATTTTTTCACTATTGCTTTCTCTGTAAATCAAATATCTCGCCGTGCAAAAATCTAAGCCTAATGTCCATCTCCAATATGTCAACAGAATTTCTTCTAATTCTTTTCTCTTTTCCCATCCCCAAATTTCCACCCCATATTCCATTACGCTTCTTACTAAATAATTAAATAACAACGTTCTCCTATTAATGTCATTTTTGAATGCTCTTTCTCCTAATCCCCATACTTCTTTAACTGCTGCCATACCCTTCTTTTTTAGTTCTTTTATGTGATCTCTGTAGTTTCCTTCTGAGTTGAATATAAAACCTAGGTACTTGAATTTCTTAACCTCTTCCATGTCACTTCCTTCATATTTCCAGCTTTCTTTTTTTTCATTTGTCTTTTTGTTAAAAACTAAAATTTTGCTTTTCTCTGTACTCAATATCAAGTCTCTTATTTTCAAAACCCTTTTAAGCGTGTCCATCATATCCAAAAGTGCTTCCCTATTCAAGGCTAATAATACTAAATCATCAGCATAATCCAGACTCCAAATTCTAATATTACCTATTTTTATTCCCCCTATGTTTCTTTTTCTAAATTCATTTTCAAGTTCACTTATGTATAAACAAAATAATATTGGGCTCAACACACAACCTTGTCTCAACCCAAGACCTATCCAAAGGTCTTCGGTAAAGCCTTTATCAGTTCTAATTCTAGCTTTAGTTTCTTCGTACATTCTCTTCAGCCTTTCAATCAGATATTGACTAATTCCTATTTTTTCTAAAATTTCCCATAGCTTTTTCCTATTAATCGTATCGAAAGCCTTCTTTAGATCTATGAATAAGGCGTATAACTTTTGTTTTTTCTTTTTCGATCTCCTAATTAGATGGTCTAATACAAATATGTTGTCTAAGGTCGATCTTCCTTTCCTGAATCTGGCTTGACATTCTGGTAATAATTTTTTTTCTTCTACTTCATCAACAAGTCTTTTCTTAATTACTTCTGCGTATAATTTATACGCTGTCGGTAACAAGGTTAATCCTCTGTAGTTATCGGTATCATTGGCATCACCGTTCTTATATATCGTAACTATAACTCCCGTTTTCCAATCTTCCGGTATCTCTTCCCCGTCCCAGATCTTTCCGATTATCGCTACTAATTTGTTTATTATTTCATCACTCCCGTGTATCCATACCTCGTGTGGAATATCGTCCCATCCCGGTGCCTTTTTTTTCTTTAAGTTTTTCCATGCCAGTTTTATTTCTGTAGCCGTGATTCTTTCCCTATCAGTAATTTCAGATTCTAAAATTCGCTTTTCACCTAAAATTCTATTATTAGACCCTTTTAAAAGCTTTTCAAAATGATGTTTCCATTGTTCTAATGTAATTTCGTTTTTACCCATACCCTTGCTATTCTTCTTCCTAAATTTACCTATGTATTCCCATACTTGACTTTCTCTTTTCAAGTTTTTCAGTTCGTTTAATTGCTCATCCTTCCATTCAAGTTCTCTTTCCTTGCATTTTAATTTCCAGAGTTTCCTTGCCTCTAGATAATTTTCTTTTTCTACTTTACCTAATTTCCATTTTCCATATTCTCTTTTTGCTTTATTTTTTAGTTTTGAACAGTCTTTATTCCACCACGTTTTATAACCTAGTTTTCTTTTTTTTATAATCTTTTTTTCTACCTTTGTCCATGATTTTTCAATAATTTCTTTAGTATCTTTCCATCTAGTTTCAACACTATCCTCCTTTTTTTCTTCTATTTGATTGTTTTATTCCCTTGTTTTAGTTTTAAAATATGCAATTGTCTCGTCGTTCCAAATAATAACTTTTTTTGTTGCTTCAGGTTCTCTTTCTATTTTTTGACTTTTTTCTAATATATTTTCTCCTTTTATTTCTAAAATTAGTGGTAAGTGGTCTGATTCTACACGTTCTTGGATTTCATAATTTATATCCTTTTCCCATATTTCATCATTGACTAATATACAGGGTGTCCAAAAAGTAACGATACACCTGAGAAATTTTCTAAGCCGGTTATTTTTTTAACCGGGTGAAGGTTGTTCTTGAAGTAACTTTTTACGAGGAATCCGATGGTAACCTTGGATTTGACCTTGAACCTCATTTTCAAGGTTATTTTGAGGTCAACCTCATTTTTTTAAATGGAAACCCCTATTTTTTATGGCGGAATCGGAAAGAGCGGAAAATTTTACGTCCAGATATGTATTGAGGTATGAGGTTGAGGTAACCCCTAGAGGTCAACTGGAGATCAAAGTATGAATTCTTAAAAATCTCGCGAATTCAGTGGTTAAACAAAACAAACAAAAGGATAACCCCAGGTAACATTCAACGGTGCTCTTTAATTTGTCCTTGAACCTCAGTTTCAAGGTTATTTTGAGGTCAACCTCATTTTTTTTAATGGGTACCCCTATTTTTTATGGCGGAATCGAAAAAAGTGAAGACTCTCACGTATGGATGAGTTGAGGTTTGAGGTTAATGTGACCTCTAGGGGTCAGATGAAGGTCAAACTGTGGCTTTGTAATAGTACCGGGATTTTAGTGGTACAAGGAAGCAAATAAAGGTCATGGAAACCCCCATTTTCGACAGCGGCAATCGAAAGAGCGGAAAATTTCACATCCAAATATCTACTTAGATCATAAGTCAAGGGCGAACTTAAAGTTTAAGGTCAGTCGAAGGTCATCCAAACTTAAAGACGCCCTAAAATTTTTTAAAGTTTTTGTCATAATGGAGAAGGGTATTTATTTAGTAATTGCCCATCGGAGATCTGTAACCTTGAATTTAACCTTCAACCTCATTATCAAGGTTTTTTCAAGATTAATTTGTTTAACTTTTAGCGTTACCCAGGAACAACGACGTGGACGTAGTAAAATCTGTCCCTTTGGGGTGCTTTATTTTCGTAAGTTCCCCTTGCCTCTCACGATCGGGGTGCTTGATTTTCGTGAGTTCCCCTCGCCTATCAACAATGATTTTTTACGCTTATTTTCTTAATAACTTGATTAGCCGGTTAAACTTTTTAAGGTTACTATCCCATACCTATTCATTGAAAATCCACTAACAAT